CTGTTCCTGTGGCTCGGGAGCCAGGCCGGTATTGCTAGATGTTCTTGTGCCCGATGGGTCGGAAGGCGGAGGAGCGTCATGGCTAACAGGGCGAAAGTCTCCGGAGAAGAAACCAGCTTCTGAACCATTGACATCGACCAGACTCTCCCATACGACCTCAGCGTGACTGGAATAACCAGCATCGGTGACCAAGGTAAAGAGCTGATCGAGTTGGGGATGTTTGTATAACGTCGAGAAATGGTCGTTGCGAAATAGGATCGAGAATGACCCAGGCTGCAACGTCGTCGCTAAATGCTTCAAGCCAAAAGTGCTCAGTTGAGTCGCGTTCTCGAACTCCGTGAACTTTTGGATGGTCTGTATATCACTCATGGCGAGTTCTTCCTCCGGCGTCAATGCGTTGCCTCGCATAACGCGGTCTTCCAAATCTTGCTTTCGGAAAGGAAGCAACTGAATATCTTCGTGATACTGACCCACGCGGGCCAATGCTGCATCTGCTTCTGTAGACGGAGCTGCAACCCAACCATGAACCAAGGGGACTCCAAATGTTCCATAGAGACGGATATCTTCGGTCTCAAGGAAAGTACCCAGCGTATCATTAGATTCCTATCCTTATTAGCTGCTGCATTCCAGTAAAAAGTGTACGAAATACTAACCAAAGTGAGTCGGGGATTGACGTTCATGCCGGTGTGCAGCATAGTCAAAAACCGACTAAGAGCTTCAATATCCGGAAACTCGTCATCGGGCCCCAGCCGTGTTGTTAATTCATCAAAGAGTGCCTCGATCAACAGCCCTAGTGAGATTTGTTCCCGAGTCTGCAAAGCTCTCACAATCGGCGGTTGCGAGTCGTGGATTGTAGAACGTAGCACAAGAGCATTGACCAGTGCCAGAAGAGGACACGGTCCATTCTTATTCTGTACCAGGATAGGCGATTCGCGTAATTTGCCGGTAGTATCAGCCCAATTTACGTGTCTGATCGAATAGGTCTCTGACCGCTGTTCTTGCTGTCGCTTGGCTTCGGCTTCCGACATTGGTCCACTGAATGCTGAATGAGTATAGACGGCACCGGGGCCTTTCGAGCGATCGGGCAATGGTGGAGCGACACTAGGGTTCTGTCGCAAGGTCTCTTCCCGTGGGCCGTCTGGCGAATTGAGGTTGTAGCTTTGGGGCGCTTCAGATGGAGTATCTGTTTTGGGTGGTGGAATAGGGGCTTCATCCAGCTCAATCAAGACGTGAGACGACCCGGTGGTATTGCTGGATATAGTCGCCGGAGTACTCATACTCCTCGCCGGGGATTCCCTGCCCTCGTCATGTAGCTGTGAGGTTGGCTGAAGATACGTTTGTTGACTTGCATAAGGCGCAGCCGGCACATTCGATGCTCCATATATTATGCCAGTTTCTTGGCCAGTATATAATTGAGTCTGGTCGTAGTATTCGTACGGTTGCGAAGATGCGGGGGGTTGCATCGCAGGGGAGTGTTCGCCAACCCAGGGAGTCTCGTCCTCGGGCTGATCAAAGAGCGATAAGCGCGCTGTCATCGGGATGTATCCCTCATCTAAGTGGGTCAGTCTAAGCTGCTAAATTCACAATGGTTGGACAGTGCTTACCTTGTCCGAGATGTCCACTGGCCCCGTCCTGAGACAGGGACGACTCTCCATATGAGGTGTGAGAATTGCGATCTTGCCATGGATTTGGTTCAGGCGACTTCGGTTTCAGGAAAGGGTTGTTCGACTGCAGCTGCACGGGTGTTTGACCCGTGTACTCCCTGTCAGATCTCCATTCCGCAGCGCCTCTCTCTTGAGCACCAGGAAAAGAGGTAGACGGAACTTGGTCTGATGCGTTTCCGTTCACAATCCCCATACCTTGCGAGGGACTACTAGATATTTGTTGAGGAGATCCAACCGAACCCTGGTGATCCAAGCCGAACCGCGCAGTGAGCTCGTCCGCCCACGGATTCGACCCGTCCCCGGCCGAATTCCGGATTGGCGACCTCTGCGCCTGTTCCAACGGCATGAGGTCAAAAGCTGGCGAGGTATTGAGGTCGGGAGAAAAAACCGATTCCTGAGAAACAACCCGGTGAGGTTGGGGAGAGCTTTGGGCCCGTCGCGGGCGTGTCAGGCGTTTTGGCGACGAGGATGAGAGAGACTTGGAAGTCGGGGAGAGTTTGGAGTTGGTGAAACGGGACCCCGTACGGTCATTCCCTTGAGGAAGGCTGTTGAGGCGTGGCGGAGCTCGTTTTCGCAAGACCATGAGGCGAACTCTTAGTGTACGAGGCCCGGGGTTACCGAGCTCACGGGGGAATCACAAGAGGGTTGGACAAGCTTGGGGGCCAATAAAGTGCGGTCAAGGAGCCAGTCAGAAGAATTAGATCGACAGGCTTCCTCTGATGACAGGTGAGATTGCCTAGTTTGACAGTCTGACGCACGAATGGGCGCCAGAGTGCCGCAGACGTGGTTGGGAGCTCTCGGGGATGTATACGTAACCAGGCAGTGGCTCCGGAAAAGACGAGGAGATCAAGATTAGCCAGTATACGCGAGAAGCAAAGCAGCAGCCACAGCCATGCCTTTTGCAGGGGGGATGAATGGACGATCCTAGGCAACAAGACGAAGATGAAAAGTGAAAATTGAGGGAGGAAAGGCACGCGAAGTCAACAACAATGGCGGGAATGACCGTCGAGGGTCACAGGCACCCGGATTCCCTGATGGAATGAATGGATGGATGCGATCGATGCTCGGGATTGGCGGTGGACCCCTGCCTGTTCTCCCGTTACCGCTGTTACCGCTATTTGGTGCGGGGATTCGCAATGTGGCTGCCTGCCACTACTGTATTGTATGGTTACGCCCCGCTGGCACCGCCACACTCTCCGCGTATTGTGCACCGCCACTTCAAAATGACGTATAACCACGGAACTGAGGAGGAATGATGATCCGCTGCTATACCCATTACATAAGCCGTGCATTATCGCAGTGGTGGAGGGTCCGTGCGCTATCGCAGAAAAAAGTAACGGAATTCAATTGGAACCAGAAGCTGCGACTTTGGTGGGGTTATTGGCTCAGGTCGCTTGAATTGACCTCTTCTTCTTTGCATAGAATGCGCTGATCCTTATTCCATAACATATCACCCGAAGCACCCCCGGCATCATGCATTCCTACGTGCGACCAAACCAATTTATCGCCTTCAAGCTCCCCTCCGAGGCGACGAGGATCCAGAAGGTCGTTCCTAATACGTATGCGCACACCTTGTCAGCCCCTAAAAATTGCACGGTGCTAACCACATGGGACAGGCAAATCTCTCTAGGAAAATACGGTGCTTTTCCCGCCAACCAAATCATAGGCCGTCCCTTCTACCTGACCTTCGAGATCCACGAGACCCCCGGACAAGCTGACAGTACCTATCTTCGCATTGTATCGGCGGCAGAGCTTCACGCGGAATCCCTCATTACTGAGGGCGAAGGCGATGGCGATGATGTAGAGGTCAATGAAGATGGCACGCCGGTGCGGTCGAACCGCGAAACCATTGACGACCGGTCAACGCAAAAGTTAACACTAGAGGAGATTCTGGCGCTGAAGAAGGAAAGCACCGGTGCGGGCAGGGAAATCATCGCGAAGCTGCTTGAATCGCATCAGGCCTTGGATCAGAAGACGGCATTCTCACTGGCCAAGTATAAGCTGCGCAAGGAAAAGAAGTACATGAAGCGGTTCACGGTGATTCCTCTGGATGTCAGTCTCCTGACGAACTACATGCTCGAGGACAAGGATGCAGCCCGGACTATGGAACTGCGCGACGAGCTGATCGGCCTCATTGGGTGTTGGGGAAATGTGCATCACGGTGGTAGCACCTCTTTTGACGAGACTCTCACCTCGAAACCGAATGGTCGCTATCTGGTTGTCGATGATACGGGCGGTTTGGTCGTCGCAGCTTTGGCGGAAAGAATGGGAATCCTGTACCCCCATGATGGCGAGAACGACCAGGAACAACAGGACGCCATCGAGCGCCCTGCCGCAGCGGAAGCTGATGAGGCAGAGAAACCCCAAGACGGCGAAGAAAAAGCCCAAGAGGGAGAGGAGCAGTCCACGACGACCACCACACATCGCCCGCCCCGTCGACCACAAATGTCCGCTTCGGGAAATACCATCACCCTTCTCCACGCCAACAAACAGCCCAACCTAAGTCTTCTGAAATACTTCGGCTACGAACAAGACAGCCCGAGCGACACACATCCTCTCTACACAAACCTCAAGACCGTCTCCTTCATGCAGCTGCTCGACCCCAACGCGGATAACATCTACTCCGAGGAACCGTCGGTAGTACCCGAAGAGGAGCTTGCCACATACAAGGCCAGCAAGCGTAGCGCCTATCACCGCAAGCGCGGGCGGTGGATGCGTGTTCGCAGGGTAGTCGACGAAGCCCGGGCCGGTGGCTTTGACGGCCTCATCATCGCTTCCCTCATGAGCCCGACAAGCATCCTGAAATACACTGTCCCGTTGGTGGGAGGGTCAGCACCCATTACCATCTACTCGCCTACAGTCGAACCGTTGACAGAGGTAATGGACTTGTACTCGACAGCCCGGAAGAACGCCTACATCGCCCGGAAGCGTGAGCTACAAGAACAGCAACAGGTCGACGGCCAGGATGAGTCTGGCAAGATGCACCCCGCGCTGGAGGAGGAATTCACAGTCGACCCTACCATGCTGCTTGCACCGACGCTGCAAACCTCCCGAGTACGCGTGTGGCAGGTCCTGCCTGGACGGACACATCCATTGATGTCGGGACGTGGTGGTGCAGAAGGGTACATCTTCCACGGCATTCGGGTCATCCCGACGCAGCAGATCATCGAGGCGGCCGGAAATTCAGGCCGGAAGAGGAGGAAGGTGACCAAGGAGACGGAGACACCGACTGAGACGCAGACGGGCAGCGGGGATGTGGAGATGACATCGTGACCTACCCTAGATTCAATTACCCTACCTGTAACATAGCCGAGAATTGGCTTTAAAAGTATACCATGTGCACATTACAACATGAGATAATGAATCCAGAAGTGATGAGAGAGGAAGACATCCATCCGACAGCTTCAAGTGACTGTCTGTCTGGTATACTAATTAACCTTATCATGACATTATAAGCTTCTTTCGTAGACATCTATTTCCCCATCAACTCACACCCATTCCTCACCACACCCACCAACCCACCAGTCTGCATTGTCTCCGACCCACCCCCAGCCAACCGCCACTCAATCTCCGCCAACCCTTCCAACCACGTAACCCTCGTCTGCGCGGGCACTTCCAACCTCTGCAACTGATCGCCCAGCGCCGCGAGAATATCCGCCAACGCCAAGCCCTTATTGGCCTTGAGGGTATTAATGGTACTCAAACAGGAGGTAACATCACTCGTAGCCAACAACGTCGTCATAATCTCCTCAATATCCGACGGATGAGGCGCCGCAATACAATCATAAATCGTCTCATTCGTAATGACCTCAGCCTCGGGCCGATCCTGACCCTGATCCTTGGGCGCATTCTTCATCGGCAACGGTATACTACTGGCAAAACAAGCCTGCAGGACATTCAACGCCCGTCGCATATCACCCTTACTCAGACGAACAAGACTGTCCACCGCCTCCGGCTGAATATTCACCTCTTCCTTCTCAATCACAAGGTCCACTAATACACGGATATCCGCCTCTTTCAACGGACTGAAGCGGAACCGCGTACATCGGGACAAGAGTGCCGGGGAGAGCTTGTGTGTGTAGTTGGCGATAATGCAGAAGCGCGTGTTGGCGGTGTATTTTTCCATGATGCGACGGAGGGCCATTTGCGCGGTGGCCGTCATGGCGTCGGCTTCGTCGAGGATGATGAGTTTGTAGGAGGCGAGATTGGAGGAGCTGGAGGTGGAGGTGGAGGATGAAGGTGCCATGGAGAAGATCTGTTTTGTGCTGGCGAAGGTCTTGATTTGTTCGCGGACGACGTCGATGCCGCGGTCGTCACTGGCGTTTAGTTCCAGGACCATTTGGCGCATGTTCTTTGCGCCGTAGATTCGGCGCGCGAGGGCTAGGATGGTGGATGTTTTGCCGGTTCCGGGGGGGCCGTAGAGGAGGAGGTGGGGGAGGCGCTGGACAAAGTGTTAGACTTGTGAGGTTTAGGGATACCATTGAGGGATTGAATTGGGGAGAGGTGTACGTTTGCTTCGACGAATTTGTTGATTGTTGCGAGAATATCTTGGTGGCCGGATACATCTTCTAGGGTGTTGGGACGGTATTTCTCTACCCTATATCTTCTGTCAGAGAATGTCGGACTGCCTATATAAAGAGAGGGAATATACCAGGGGAGGTTATCTTGAGCTTCAACGGGCAAATCAGCTGCTACTCGCTTTGCCTTGCCATTTGTGTTGTCGGAGCTGAATTGGATAGTGTTCTTGGATGGGACGTCCACGTCCATTGAATCTTCGTAGTCGGACATGGTGTGTATTTCAGGGCAGCGATACACTCAGTCCCTGAATAATAATGCACAGCTCAAATTACTGCAAATGATAGGGGAGTCTGGTGAAATTGTAGCTATCTGGAAATCACGAGAGACGCGTAGCGCGTAAAGAGGCTCGGGCCGGAAAATCTCCCCGCCCAGGACGAGGACAGCGGCAGCTCCTGGACTGGCACGGGTGATGACATGCACCTCCGTCCCTCTCCCTATTGTATCTACCTATTTCCCTCCTTAGACCGGCTCTAAGGACCACCACCACCCATTATATTTCCCTGCAGCTCACAATGCCGGTACTATTCCTTTTCCTCCACCTATTCCGAGATATACCCCCAGACAAATTGACTAATCCCATACCAGGCATACCACTCCATCTTCCTTGAGGACCGGGATGTCCCCGTAATAGGTACGGCCGCACTCACCTCCCCGCCATACACCCACCTAGCTACCCCCCCGTACAGCGATAGCTACCTACACCATCCACTCCAGTCCACCACTCTCTCATCAACCCAACTAATCACCCATTGATAGGAAACTTCCCCATCCTCCCCCTCCGCACTCGCACCCGCGGCCCCGCATACACCCTCCCCCCGCTCCCGCCCACCGCCGACACCACCGATGTGCCCGCCGACAGCGAATCCTACGACTGCGTCGACGAGATCCTCTCCCTGTTCCGCGCAAATGTCCTGTTCCGTAACTTCGAGATCAATGGGCCCGCCGATCGCATGCTCATCTACGGTACCTTGTTCATCAGTGAATGCTTGGGAAAGGTTAAGCCCGGTATGGTGATGCGCGAGGCTGAGAAGGTATGTTTTGCTTGCCGCTGTTGTGCTGGGTTGTTGGGGATTGGTGGTGGTGATAAATGATGTGATGTGATGTGCTAATGGGTATTGTTGTAGGCGTTGATCAACGTTGCGCTCGACCACTTCGCTATTCCCGGTGACGTGTCCTTCCCTCTGAACCAGGCGTTTGAGGCGCCCCGCGATCGCCAGGATGCGGAGACATTGAGACAGTATGTTAAATATTAGGCAGCCCATTTTGATAGGAGCCGGTGTATTGGACGGTGCTGATTGAATCGCAATAGGTACCTCTCGCAAGTTAGGCAGGAGATTGCGATGCGGTTGCATGCGCGGTTATACCCCGGTGGTGTTGGGCCTTCCAAGGTATGAATCCGTACCCTGTAATCATGGAGAGGTCCAGGCTAATAAAGAATAGTGGTGGTTGAGCTTCGCCAAGAGAAAGTTCATGGGAAAGAGCTTCTAAGGCGAATGACTGATAGATAGATGGATGTGCTTTTGTTTTTGCTGCCAAACTCAGCGTATGAACAAACTCTAAACTGGACTGTTAGCTGTTGTCCATGTCTAGTCATTTTTACTCTGTGTATATTTGAATCTGAAGCGTTTTGATCCGACTCTCGCTGCTTGGTTGGTGTCATTCCTGACGTCGGCTGCACTTGTTCATCAGTATGACTGCTTGAAAGAAGCAGATGTAGAGTCCCACTGCGGGCAAGGGAGCCACGGGGCCCCCATTCGACCAGAGCCAGTTGAGATATGATCATGATATTTGGGGTCCTATTCGACCAGAGCCAAATATCCTACAACTGGCTTCCGTATTCCGGCTCCAGTCGAACAATATCTCTCTTACCCAAGCCCCATCGCTAGACAACCACACCATTTGCCCCCCCAAAACACCAACAACACCCCTACTTAACCCCCCTAACCTCCATACAACAAACAAGCCATTAACGAACAACTACCACACCCGCCCTCCCCATCCCCACCCCAAACCCAAATATGATCCTCAATTTCTACTATACTCTCGCACCGCTCTGCTTTGCAGTTCGCATGGACATACTATAACTCCATACCTCGCAGCCTAATTCTGAGCCGACAAGGGTCTCAGCACGGGTCCTATTCATTGAACACTGCATTGTCCAATCAGATAGATGACGGGATGCTCAGATCCTCCGGATTCTTCGCTTCGATGTCAACCTCATCAAGCATTACAGCCGCTATCCAGGCTTTTTACAAACGCATATATCAGACAAATAGTAATAGAATAAGTCGTGGTAGAAGGGTGGCAGAGGGTCTTTTGTATATGTTAGATAGTTCTAGGTGGGAATTAGGGTAAGTTATATCTTTGTCCGATGGACATTTGCTTACCATAGTATTGTTGTGTCATGCGGAGGATGGATGTCCAGATGATGATAAGGATGGATATATCGGTTAATGATCATTGTGTGCGAGGTAAGTTTCTGGTTGAGTTTTGAGGCTCTGAGTCTGATAGTAGTAAATGTCAATAGGTCTGGAACGGGGAGGCACCTCCTTGGCTGACAACTACATAGTCATGTATCTTAATTTCTATCATTACGCAAATGAGGTAGCCTATTTCAATAATTCACCCACTGTAAGCCCCAATTAGCCCCGTGAATATGACAGATTAATTTTTGACAAGATTTAACATCCCATAAAGTCGCAGCGCTAGTAATCATGTCTTTACAATGAGTAGCTGCAATAAGATATGCATCCGTCACGAATGTAGGCGTCTAAGGCAGAATACTGGCCTATGCAGCTTCACTATCATCACCCTTCTCAAACAACTCCTCAATACTCTCCAAACTCTTCCCCTTCGTCTCCGGCATCAGCACACACACCGCCACCGCCACGAGCGTCGAGAACCCATACAAGAAGTATGGTCCTGACGGAGACCGATGCAGGAACAACGGGGCAGTAAGGGTGACGATAAAGTTCACGATCCAGTTAGCAAGTAGCTCTACCGCACATACCTTTGCCCGGAGCCGAGTAGGAATGATCTCTGAGGCGTAGATCTTGCCGACCTAAAGAGAACCACATCAGCAAATCAGTCTGTGCAACTCGAAGAAAAGTACTCACCACAGCCCACGACCAGGAAAAGTTTGCCACAAAGATAAATATCAGCACCACCACGGCCCACTGAGCAGAGTGAGACTCGAGGGTGACAGCATCGTGGGTTGTGTGACCGTAACGGGCGTACAGTGCTCCAATGATGATAAAACAGATGGACATTGCTGATCCCCCAGTGATCAACGGCTTGCGGCGCCCCCATCGGTCTACCCAGATCTGAGCGGGGATAGTGAAGACCAGCATCACAATACCGATGATGCCGGATGACAGGAAGGAGGCTTTGGTAGAAGTGAAACCCGCTTGTTGAAAAAGGATAGGTGCATAGTATAGGACAACGTCGATCTGTAGTCGGTTAGTCCAGTGTCTAGAGGCCCGGTCGAGAACCATAAGCGCATTGGGAGGGAAGTGGGACGAAGTTGAACTCACCCCTGTCAATTGCTGAAAAGTCATCAGAAACACACCAAGCGATGTACGACTAATGTACTTCCGACCAAAGATCTCCGCCATACTAGCGGTCGGTCGCCGCTGGTCAGACTGCAGACTGTCCTGAATCTCCCGTAGCTCCTCGTCTACCGTAGATTCAGGGCGCAGTTTACGCAAAACCCGGCGTGCATCTTCGTTGCGGCCGACCTGCACCAGCCATCGAGGTGAGAATGGCAGCATAAGCATCACGGCCGACAGCACAGCGGCCATGATGGCCTGGATGATAAATGGTACCCTCCATGACATGCTGCCATTGAGATACTGTGTCCCATAGGTGATAAAGTACCCCGCCATAATGCCAAAAACCACGTAAAGCTGAAGTGAGCAAGCCACCACGCCCCGCACATCTGCAGGGGCTATCTCCACCAGGTACACAGTGGTGACAGAAATGGCTTGGCCCATGCCGACCCCGGTAATCAGCCGGGCGACGATCAGGCTAGCGAAATTAGGCGAGCAGGCGGATATTATGGTCCCTGCCAGTGAGAGCAGGCTGCCGATGAGAATTCCGTACTTTCTCGAGATGCGGTCCGAGACATGGCCGCTCGCCAGAGAGGATGCGGATGACGAAAGGAGGATACAAGCGACGTAGACACCCTGCTGAGTAGACGATAATCGGCCAATAGAGGATTCGAATTGGGGCATTTGCGTGATTGGACCAATAGAACCTGGAAGTGTGAGTTTCGGGGCCATTGGGTGAGGGAAGTGAACAGACCTGTGTCCAGGCCATACAAGAGCCCGGCCAGGGCGACATGGCCAGCAATGAGGAAAACCTTCCCCTTGGGCGAAACCATCGGATGAGACTGGTGCAGTTGACAATGAGCGAGACGGAAATAGATGTTTTGATTGAGGAAGAAGACGATTTGAAGCGACCTCCTTTTTGCATGGGCTTCATTCAACCCCTCTCTGAGGTAGCATCGCCTAAGTTGTTCTCAGACAACAGCATGGTCGCCGGCGTCGGAGTTGCAAGGACAGTCATTTGCGGTCTGGACTAATACCCCTGTACTTGAGATTGACTCTGATAGGATAGTGCAGCAATATATGCATGTTGTGCGCAGCATGATCGACCCAGAGCGGTCAGATCAGTGCCTCAGCGAGGTGGGATCACCGTTGGATTTAGATTGCAGCTTCAGCCCGAGACACCAAAGGCGGGGAGGTAGTGCAGCCCAGCCACCAATCATCCCTAGGAATGACTCGAATTGAATCTAAGTTGAGGTTACATTCACTCGCATGCTGCCTCTAGCGCTTATGCCGATCACTGCTCGCCATATGGGCCAACCCTGTACACAGTCACACCTATCGCTGGGCACCGCGCCGGTCTTGCGAGTCTTCAGGGCCAGTCTCCTCGCACCCATGAGATTTTAAATGCAATTGTCACACGCGGAATAAGTGTGTGCAACCCGCGAGCCTCGTAATCCAGGAAGTTGCGTGCCCGTTCTGGTTACACGCATCTGTCGGACTAGAACTATACCTTCAATAGCAGGTCTTACTCATCTTCGGTCAGTAAAGAGCACCAAACGCAGGGGATTATCAACTAATTGCATCGGGATCGCCGCCTCATGTAGGAACGCGAGGACGACATTGGCGCACCGGGTAGTCAACAATGTAGCTAGCGGCGACCAGGGTGCGCAAGCCTAATATGCAATGTTGCATTGTCGCAATAAAGCGCCCTAAAAGGGAAACACTTTTATAGGTCATCCGCACGCTCAAGCTGAGGCCCAGACATAATGTTTACCTCGTATGGACAAGTGTACTGACCGGGATTTGACGCAACACTTGCCGTCGGCTAATTTTTTGCTGACGAAAACCACAGCTCGATGGCCTCGCCAGTGAAGGACCAAGGAAAGTCCAGTGTTGACGATGGCGAAATTCGTAATGCCAGTGAATGTATGAAGATCGCCGAGCTGAGAACCCCAAGTATTTAAGGGCCTTGGTTCCTTCACGACCGAACAGTTGTAGGAACACTCAAAGCAGAGAAAAATAAGGGTCTGAACGAATTATAGCCATGGATATCAAAAAGTGCGGGCTGGGTGCGAATGGTATGTTTGCTTTCCGCTGCCAAAGTCTTATCATCTAGTTGACGTGCCATTCCAGTCCCAACCTTCTATGATCCATCCGACATCGAGTCCATCCGTGCCTCTGTCTTCAATGATGGTATAGCATTTGTGGAGGGGTGTGAGGAAGAGGCCTTAGTAGGTCTCGCTCACCAACTGGGACAAGTCGTGAGACCGCGGAATGAGGAAACACCCGGCAGTGGTGTAAGTCGAATTCGATTTGCATCAGACTTGGTGGGAAAAGGATACAGCTCTGAAGGTTCGTCTATAGAGCGAGAATAGTTGAGCAGGTCGTACACTGACGTACCGATCACAGAGCTATTCTTCCATACCGATCGCAGCGGATGGGACGAACCCCCGCGCATGTTGATGTCAACTCTCCGTTCCCAGTCAGAATCCGGGGGCGAGTCATTGCTGGTTGACGGCCAGAATGTCCTCAACGCTCTTAGAGAACATGATGAGGATCTGTACAACCTGTTCACTAGTTCAAAGCATACCAGCTTCCGCGCCGATGACGGAACGTTCGTGCCACGGGCCATGGTCGACAAAGAGACGGGAATCTTTCGCTTCCGGTTCGATGACGGCATCCAGATGTCGGCATCTATGGTTGTTGGCTTCGCCAAGCTGCAGGATATCATCTATCAGCATGCCTATTTTGTGTCCCTGCGACCCGGTCAGGGTTATGTGCTAGATAACCACCGGTACCTGCATGGGCGAGCCTCCTTCACTGGTTCACGGGAGTTGTTACGAGTCCTTGTCAGGCCCTCCTCTCCACTTACCGAGAAGGTAATCTTGTTTGACATTGACGGCACACTCTGTCGGTCAGAGGCACTCAGCATTGATGCATATTATTCCTGTGTGAGTGACATCGTGGGAAAGGACATCAATCATGCAAATACCCCGGTCAACTTGCACGGACGAACCGATCTTGGCCTACTGCACGACATCCTGGATTATCACCAAGTAGCCATGAAGAATCAGGTAGTAGAGAAATTCCTCAATCTCCACCCACAGTACCTGGAGCGTTCTTTGTCCAAGGGTCTTCCATCGGTGATATGCCCGGGCGCACAGGAAATGCTCAGCTGGTTAATTAGGGAGAATGAGAGCTCCAGACAACCGAAGTTCCAGTTGGGTCTGATCACAGGCAATTCTCGTCCCAACGCCTTGCTAAAACTCCGCGGGGCAGGGATTGACACCAGTATATTCGACCTTGACATCTCGTCATTTGGGGACAGCCACCATAACCGACTATCATTGTTTCAAGATTCCCTCTCCAAATTGCAGGTCCGCATTGGCTCTCATATACGCGCAAAGGACGTTCTAGTCGTTGGAGACACGCCCCTGGATGTGGAATGTGCGAAGCAGGCTGGTTGCTCAGTTGTAGCCGTTGCGACTGGGAACTATAAGATGGAGGAGCTGGCTTCGCTGAAGCCCAATTTTTGCTGCAGTCAGCTGACTGAAACGAAGGAATACCTTCTGCAAGCGGTCTTCTAGGTGTTACTGCCAGTGTTAAGAATTTTTAGTCACACGCATGTTATGAAATGGCCACACACTTTGTATCGCAGGTTATCGATAAAGGAATATTGGAGTTCAAGGTATAAAAAACCTCATTCGCCCCAATATAATTATGTATGAGCTGTAATTTCTCCATACCGATTGGAAGTAGTAATGACGATTGGTTCATATTGTTATTGGGAGGCCTTTGAGAGGCGGCTTCCACCTAACTGCGCTCTGATTCCAATGTCGAGCCAACGATTTCCTGGATTTCTCCGGCCGCAGTACCAGCCAGAACGCCCACACCAACTATTCCACCATCGCTGGCCTCTCGAAGGAAGACACTCTTCCCTTCACCCTGTGGTCCAGCACTGAGAATCAATCGGTCAATATGCCGCTGAATTCGGTCCTTGTAGTGAGGGTAGTGCTGGATCACACCACCAGACACGGCCACAACCAGCTCCTCTGGCCCTTTTTGCCAACTGGGTATCGCTGCTTTGGAATTTGACACCGTATCATTCTGTGTCATTCTCGATTCGACTGGTTTGAAATCTTTATCATCCGTTTCCAGGTGTGATGTGCTCTTCAAGTTCACCTCGCCAGTGCATGCTAAAAGACCAACCGTCGCTGCAGCAACCAAGGCAGATGATCTCTCTTGGACTGCCGCAGCGATTATTCGAATATGCCCAGCGAAGTCGGGGGTCCACATCCAGTCACTCGAGGATGGTGACGGGAGGTGGTTTGACAGTGCCACGGCCAGATGTTCGTTTGAGGAGCTCGAAGCCACCACAAGCGACAGGAATTCTGTAGATAGTGAGTTCCTTTCGACCAGTTTCTCTGGCAATGAAGACTTTGGGATCTTCTTGATTCCATGAAACCAATCATAAGAGATTATGCGGACGAGCTCGCCAATGTAACGGCCACCAACCATATACTCTAGTGGCTGGAAGCCGGGACGGTTTGAATGTTCTTCCAGCTCAGCATCCCACTTGGTTACGATACCGAGCTTCTCCAAAGGCCCGGTTGCTCCGTGGAGGGTCCATTCAGTCGAAACGACGGTTTCATCCGCTTCTGGCTGCTTTTCTCGGATATGGGCCACTTTCGATTCCTGTAGGTCAGCAAGTTTCATGGGGATAGCGGAATTACAGCCGGCGCCGACGATGAGCCCCATGACTACTCGAGTATTGGGAAGGGCCCTTATCGAGTATGCCAGAGAAGCTAAGGTAGCGACCGTATCATTGGTCATGACCGTGACCTTCAACTTCGGTAGACAGTAAGTCTTGCGACGCTTAGTGGGCATGTCACCTGAGTCCTGATCAGACCTCCGGGTGTGACATTCATATCCATCCAGCAAGGCTTGGTGGAGATTCAGCGAAGAGCTCAAGGCGAACCCCTTGCCTGTGGGCATAAGAATGGCCTCATTGAGAAACTTTTGCCTGCGATCAGTTAACCCCATACCACACAAATTAGATAGGCAAGAGACAAACTTAGTAGGAAAACAGAAAGAAATTCCCATGATGAGCTCCTTTGGCGGATCGCCTTTAGAGTTGGCGAGATCATCCGCGATGACTTCGGCAATGCAGTCACCAATCCAGGCGAATAAGGACTGGGCTTGGTCACGTCGGAGCCGCTCTTCGATGGGCCACGCTTTCTCCAGGGTTCGTCTTACATGAGGTTGCCTTCCGACTGGCTGGTGCCCCAGCAGTTCAATGAAGGCGACCCGGAGATAGGAGAGGCCGAGGTAGACAGCCAGATAGCGACCGGTTTCATGGCCGGTGGGCAGCCGGGTGATGGCGGTGGGGAAGAACTGCTCCGATGAGCTGGCTGCCAGCTCCCGATATGTGTGTGACAGGCGATGGGAGAGGTCATAGAGTGTGTCGTGGTCTATACGGAGGGGATGCAGGAACTCTTGAAGATTAGGATCTAACTTTCCCATCTTGGCGGATGGTTCCTTGCCCTGGGGAGTTGCAAGGGTAATCAATTATCTAGAAGTAGTAGTAGTTATTAATGGATGGAAGGAACCCAAGGCGGGCGGCGGGGACGAGCCGCTGGTGCGTAGCTTTTGTCTCATTACCCGTGGCTCTTGGCCGCCGTTGTTCCACGGGTCTCCATGCAAGGGGCAACTCTTGTATATCGGAAATAAATACTGCGCAGATACTTTTATGCTGAATTGATGTACTGGACATAAGTAACAGGGTACGGCGAGAGTCACAGGTGACTAGCATTATTTCACCTAAGAGGGACTAAATCTGCGGAGCTTTGTGTAATAGTAGGGTTGACTCTGAGCGGGGTGGTCTCTATGATAGTATCTCGGGTGTTGTGTGCGTGGGTACTCTATCTTAGTCTGATTTATAGAGGTGGAGGTGAAGGCTGCAACTACTACTAGTAATTAAATAAAAACAATGTTATGTCAGATGATATTTATATAGTCAATTAGTACTAGCTCATATGAGTAATCTGCGGGATGGATGGAAGCCTGAAGGTTTGATTCAAGCCGTTTAAGTCCGAGTAAGCACCGGTGCCCCTCAGACCGGAGAATCTGACAGGAAGCTCTCTCCTTTCGTAAACATAAGAGAGAGGAAAGCTTCAACGTTGTGATTATCAAAGTTTTGCGAACTTACCTTCGTATCAGAGGCCCTTTCTTTTAGAGTTATCCCAACGATCTACCATCTACTCCCCAGCCCTCACAAAATGGCCCAAAACAAAGCTGCCTGGATTACAGCTCCTACTGAGCATCCCTTCACTATCCGGGAGGCCCCATATCCTACACCAGGGCCCGAGGAGATCGTGATCAAAAATGCTGCTATTTCTATTGTGCGATCAATCCCCTGAGTTCATTGATCTCAGCTAATCTTGATCTCTCGTAGAATCCCGCTGACTGGAAAATTCAGTACGAATGAACTTTAACAGCTATCACTCAGCGTGTAATCAATCTAACAATATCTACAGAACATATGGCGCTCCTTGGCTGAGAAATTGGCCATTTGTTTTGGGCACAGATGTCGCTGGAGTGGTGGTTGATGTAGGCCCTGATGTGGTCCGCTTCACCAAAGGTCAGAGGGTCGTTGCGTAAGTACATTTGCCTGGCTTAATTGAATATCAATTAGATCTGATCTGTTCTGCTCTAGGTACTGCCATTGTCTAGGGACCGGCAATCCCGCCAACTCAGGATTCCAGTTATACACCTTGGTAAAAGAAACCACTGTAGCACGAATCCCAGATTCAACTACCTTTGAGGAAGTATCCGTCCTACCGCAGGCTACCTCGACTGCTGCGGCAGGTCTATTCCTCAAAGATAGCCTTGATTTGCCCATCCCCCCTCCTACCGGTGTGCAGCCGACAGGCAAATCCATTCTTGTCTGGGGTGGCGCATCTTCGGTTGGCGCAACAACAATCCAACTCGCAGTAGCAGCAGGTCTAACAGTGATCACGACAGCATCGACTCATAACCATGAGTTGGTAAAGTCTCTAGGCGCAAGTGCTGTTTTTGACTACAAGTCTCCTACTGTCGTCGAGGACGTTGTCAATGCGCTCACTAATACTGAGTTGTTTGGTGTCTACGACGCTGTTTCTGAACCTGCGAGTCTTGAACTGGTGCGTGCGGTTCTGGACCAGTTGAAAGCAGATGTTAGGACTATTTGTGTTATACCTTACGATAAACCTACGGAACAGTTTGCGCCTATATTCAGTAAGGCTCCTTGTTATAACACCCATATGCTTTTTCGCTCATCTTCACTACATATAACCAGTACTAATAGTCTCTCGTTTAGTCAGTTCGAATTTTCTGACCTTTGACTCGAACAAACATGTCGCGGAGGGTATTTGGAGAAACTTTGTCTTCAAAGCCCTTGAGAACGGACGTCTTCAACCGAAGCCGGACCCTGAGGTGGTCGGAAAGGGACTGGAAAAGGTCCAGGAAGCCGTTGACATCTTAAAGAAGGGCGTTTCGGCTAAGAAAATCGTTGTCACTCTGTAATCGCCGAGAAGCTATCAAGATGCTAAGAAAGTCTTTTAATGCAACCTGCGTTATACAGTATATAAGATTTATTGACAAGTCGAAGAATATATTTGGGTCTACCCAGGAATAGATGAGCCAGGAGCACCCTGTCCCCGCTCCTCCGAATAGTTGTCGAAGAAATTCTGAATCATCAGTCCGCCCGCCGCGTCGAGAAATTCGGCATTAAATGACCCAGGAGCATATCCAGACATGTTATCATCCAGCCCTAATGTATTAGGTTTGAAAGCTTGTTGGTCGTTCGTAGGAAACCAGAGGGCTCGGAAAGACCCCGGTAGCTGGCTGGAAGCGTAGGGAGCCATGTCGCTGGGAACGGCAATTCCATGCCCGTGTTCTACATATATTGAAACGCATCCTTTAGTATATACACTTATAATATGTAGTAGAAGGGTGGTGGGATCATACCAAGTATGTTTTGGAGCACATCTCTAGCTCGCAGGGCCATGTCATGGGAAGAACCCAGACTTCCCAGACAGTTCACCGCGCGTTGGATCTGGCATTTCCAAGTCTGCGCCAAGCTATGTGCTGGCTCGTAGATATAGCACGTCGCCTGGACAAAGCTGGCTGTTAGCAGCCAGCAGGTTGCATACCACGTCAGGCCGCGGCGGCGGTTGCTCGTTGACTCGAGAAAGCTGCAGATGGAAGCAACACACTCGTCTGCCGCGGTGAGACAGGCGGAGACTGGACCTGTAGAGGTGGCCAGCTCGGATTTAGCTGCAATGCTTTGGAAGAGAAAGGGGCGGTTGATAACGATGCGTAGATGGAAAGAACGCCACAGAAGGACTCGACGTGGTATGTCGAAGCGCGGTTCTAGAGGAACGCTGAGCCCAAAATGTGGCGGTAGCTCATGGTACCATGTGTGAATACGCTGTTCTAAATCCGCGGCTTTCTGCTGAGTAGGTAAATGGTGCGTCAATAGCTCTACCTGAACGACATTGGCGATTTTTGCGAGATTCACTTGGGCAATGAGGCATGAGGTGATGGTCGGGCCAGTACCACACTCAGGGAGTTCATCCATATCTACTGCAAGATCGTGGTCATCGACATTAGCTGGTAGATGAACATTCACCCCAACAAGCGAGACGGCTGGTCGGCCAAGGGTCAGCTGGACGCCTGACACGAATATAAAGAGTGTCCACCAGACGCGTCGTCGGATCTCCATCGTGAAAGGAGAAGTACTAGGCATGCCAAATTCTCGGTGCAAGCCAATAGCCAGTGCCATACTCCAGCCTATACCGATTACAATAAAAGCAGCATTTGGCTTGTTGCGTTTCTGCATGTAGTTCGCCATGAGGACTATCGCTTGCACATAACTGAGAGATCCTTTCTCAAGGACATCCATTGACAAATGCTTGCGTGCTTCTTTGAAAAATGGTATATCCACTTTGGTGCCTTGCGAATCTCCGACGAAAGCACCAATGGCGAGTACGATATTGTACAATATGGGCCAAGAACCATCGCGTGGCTTTGCTAGGGCACCTGCTCGGGGTTAGACATTTGCTCATTGATTGGTGTGACGAAGAGCTACCTGAGACCCTGGCCCTAAAGGTTCCCTCATGCAAGATGGGGTATGCTGGATGATAGAAAGCGAAATAATCATCAAGATAGCGGAGTACATCTGCCCGTCTCTGCTGTGCAGTGCAGATGGTCCCACCATCAATATCGTCGTCAAGGCAAGACAGCGGGCTGAAGCTAGTAAGGGGTAAATATAGTGGAAGTGACTGGAGGAATTTGAGGGCCGCTATGCCAGACTGTGGGCCTGTATAGCCGGCCTTGTGCGGGTCGACAGTCAGAAAGCCCATGCCGTCGGTAGAGTTGTCAAAGTCTTGTGACTCGTCGAATTCGTAGTCCTCAGCGTTGCTGGGTTCGGCAAAACTAGCAGGAGGCTGTTCCGTTGCATGAGCAACCTCACTGAGGTGCTTCTGCCTTTGTGGGCCTTGCTGGACAGCAGTGATAGAGTCGTGTTGAGAGCGAACGGTCTGAAGTGCATCCTGGAGATTAACTGATGGAAGATAGATGGCCCATGCCCGTTCCATATCAGCTCTCAAGCGTTCTAACTCATGCAGACGTCTATATAAATGAGCATTGATGAAGTAACCAAATTTGAAGCTAATTATTAGGGCCAACCTTTGTAAAGTAGAAAGACGTTGGGATGGTGAGGAGTAACGACATGATTTGGCATCCCGGCGACAGTTGTTACAATTTTCGTTGCCAGAGCAGCGTATCTTGCGTCGCTTACATTCATCACAAGCAAAGGTCTTCCGAAGAATGCGTCGAGACTGAGAGATGTCCATTGCCACGGGTGTAATTCAAGGGAAGAATGAGAAGTCAATCGTGGCGAACGGAGATTTCCCCGGGCGATGCCAAGACGGCTCCCCGCAGAGTCCGGGGATACCGACATCTACACTCACAACGTTGTTCGATGCGGATTCGATTAGAGTCCTGATTGAGAAGTACACGTATTGTCTATGAGGCATTAAGCTCAAATTTGGCAGTCTAGACGACATGCAGAGGAAGCTACGTGGCAAAAGGCAACGGTTTACCGATCCGGCATCCATTCATCGACACCCGGAAATAGCCCCGATGCGCGACGGCGATAGATCCGTTGCTCTCTGCACGGCTCGGACCCAATGACATATTGCAGATTTCGGACGATCATGCAGGCCATTTAAACAATGAAATCGCTGGCAAGTCTCGGCTGCATTGGACTCCAGTACTCGATTCACACACAATCTGAAGGAATTCATCATGTCTCTCGAAGGAAAAGTTGCGATTGTCACTGGCGGAGCCCGCGGAATCGGCGCCGGCATTGTCCGCAGTTTGAGTGAGCAGGGTGCAAAGGTAATTAGCAGCAAATTATACCTATCTGCAAAACACCAATGTATCTAACATATTCGATGTAGGTGGCATTCAACTACGTCTCCCCATCTTCGCGCGAAGCCGCAAATGCGCTTATCGAAGCGCTCCGACAAGACGGCCATGAAGCCGTTGCAGTTCAAGCCGACATCACCGACCCAAAGGCCCCGAAGATGATCATACAAGCAGCTCTTGATGCCTTCGAGACAGGCCGAGTTGATATTCTTGTGAACAACGCTGGTGCGGGTGACAACCGGCCGCTGGAAGAAGTGACCATGGAAAGCTACATGCACCTGATGGACGTCAACGTGCGAGCGGTGGTCTTCATGACACAGGCTATTCTTCCATACATACCCCGCGGCGGTCGGATTATCAATTTGTCGTCTATATCCTCTAGGGGCGGTTATGCCACCCAGTCCGTGTATGCTGCCAGTAAAGCAGCGGTGGAGGGTCTCACACGGGTCTGGGCAACAGAACTTGGCCATAAATACGGAGTAACCGTGAACGCGGTCAATCCCGGCCCTGTTGATACAGATATGTATCAGGCAGCTGGTGAAGTGCATCTGAAGCGGATGGAGGAGCAGAACAAGAAGGTCCCAGCTGGGCAGCGATGTGGAACCGTGCAAGATATCGGGGACATTGTGTCGTTCTTGGCTGAAGAGAGGTCCCGATGGGTGACGGGAGATGTGATATGCGCTAATGGTGGGATGTTGTATATTTAAACAGAGTCTTGTTTACTCAGGCGAAGATTAAATAGAATTGGTAATTTCATTGTGGTTTTTGACCGAGCTTTTGTCCTAGAGCTACAGGTTAACATCTTCGGGCTTGATACTACGCTTCAGAGATGTGGTCCTTTAGAACAAAACCACCCCGCCATCACGGCAGCAAGGTCGCCGCAACCCCAACATAATCCCGAAACTCATCGCTTCGAGTTGCTCAGCATATTCACTATCCTCCGTGGGGGAGGCCAAGTCTCTGACGAAGCCTGGTGGATACCACCGGGGAAACCCCCGTTGTTTATCACGGCGATAGCTCCGCGAGCCGAGTCCCACAGTCAGGGCTCGTCCCGTATATCGGCCCCAAATATGAGCTCGTGGAAAATTCGACAGCTGCAGAGAACCAATTTTATCTGACTGAGGCCACAACTTATTATGTAGATGTGAATTCAGCATTGGTCAGACCCAATCAACTATCATTCCAAGGGCCCGAAATAGCAGGCACTTTGAATTCATGCTGCCGGCATCAGATAGTAATCATCATCTGTAGATAAGTTCACAGACCCGAATCACCAGGGACTGACTGCTACTCAAGGCTTCAGAGTCAATTATGGCTATATCATAGTGGCTTGCCTCTCGGAAAACATTGGACCGGAACTAGGCAAGAAACTGGGGGGTGCCCATCGTAAACCGATGGCATGAATGCCGAATTGACAGCCAATGCGGGGGCTGTCTCTGGGGTTCTGGGGTAATATAAAACGCCTTTCCTTCTTCGTATATGGTGCTGTTCTTTTTTTTTCCCTCCTCATGCTCTGCTAAGGGGTTCTTCTTCCCATTTCCTTCACAGCTCTCCCCCCTCTTGAGTCACACCCTATTCCTATTTTCATGAATTTTACCCTTCACAAATATGTCGGCTCTCTCAACTGGTTGCCACCGAAAGGTTGCCTCTCAGCAACCTACGTGTGATGAGATTGAATCCGCATCACGCCCAAAGATCCTCACCGAAGCCGATTGCTACTCAGAACTTGGGTTTTCGTTCCCATCTGTTAAGAAATGGACGATAATAATCGTCATATTCCTCGTGCAGACATCCATGAACTTCAATACCAGTTTATACTCCAACGCTATATCCGGAATCTCCGAAGAATTCAACGTGAGCAAGCAGGCGGCTCGTTGCGGTGCAATGATCTTTCTCATCTTATATGCCTTTGGGTGTGAGCTCTGGGCACCCTGGAGTGAAGAAATGGGCCGGAAACCTATCCTGCAACTGAGCCTGTTCCTGGTCAACATATGGCAAATACCAGTCGGTATCGCTCCTAACTTTGCTACCATCATGGTTGGCCGGGCTCTTGGTGGCATCTGTACAGCCGGTGGCTCCGTGACTTTGGGAATGATAGCCGATCTATGGGAACCTGATGATCAGCAGTACGCAGTAGCATGCGTGGTGTTTTCGTCTGTTGGTGGATCTGTTCTTGGCCCTGTGGTTGGGGGTTTCGTAGAAGCATACCTCCCGTGGCGATGGAACATCTGGATCCAGCTTATCTTCGGTGGCTTCGTCCAGCTGGCTCATTTGATCCTCGTTCCGGAAACAAGAACATCGGTCATGATTGACAGGATTGCCAAGCGGCGGCGAGAAAAGGGGGAGAATGTGTTCGGCCCGACTGAATTGACACTGCTGAAGGACCGCTTTTCAGGAAAGGAAATTATGGGGACCTGGCTTCGACCATTCCACATGCTGCTCACCGAGCCCATCGTGCTGTGCCTCTCCATGCTTAGTGGCTTTACCGACGCTCTTATCTTTATCTTCATTCAATCCTTCGGACTCGTGTACGCACAATGGAACTTCAGTACTGTTGCCGTTGGCCTCTCCTTCCTTCCCATCATGATAGGCTACGTTATCACCTGGATCATGGTTATCCCAGTGATCAAACGCAACATTCACGAACGTCGCAGCAAGCCCAACGACGAGAGGGCCCAATACGAATCTCGACTCTGGTGGCTCCTTTACACTGCCCCGTGTCTTCCCATTGGACTTATTGGCTTTGCGTGGACAAGTCTTCCGCAGACACATTGGATTGGCAGCATGTTCTTTTCAGCTTTGGTCGGCATCGCCAACTTTAGCATTTTCATGGCTACCATCGACTACATGATTTGTGCTTATGGTCCCTATTCTGCGTCTGCTACGGGAGGTAATGGGTGGGCTAGAGACTTTTTGGCTGGTGTGTTGACTGTACCTGCGACGCCCTTTTATGAGAGTATGGCAACCCTCAAACTAGATATGTTTGTTTGTATACTGTGCTGACACATGATTTAGATATTGGTGGTGACTATCATTTGGAATATGCGTCGACCATCCTCTGTAAGCAAATTTTGGTCCTGCTGCAGCAAATTACTGATCCAAACTATAGTCTGCATATCCATAATCCTTGTCGCGACGGTATATGTCGTCTACTTCTTCGGACCTACCCTTCGCAAACGATCACCGTTCGCCCAGAAGCTATTGCACGCTAGGACAGACATACACGCAACAATGGAACACAGAAAGTAGTGCTAGCAATACGCTACTTATGGCCGATGGTGTCATTTGGATATGTCGTGAGACATGATACCTGGAGACCTGGCGATAGGTGGTGTACTACTTCCGACTTCGATTTCGTGTATGCTAGCCAGAAATTTTAGCAATGCGACTGTCACAGGAGTTGTCCAGCACTCTCCAGTCAACGTTCCATCTCTCATCTACTGTGGTCACTGAAATAGATGCAGTGAAGCATGATTGAATCATGTACGGGGGTAAAAGTGACATAGCGGAGGGATGCCTTAAAGGGGTATAGCTAGCTCGGTTCACCGAGTAGGCTTGGATGTCCGTCGAAGAAAGTCGTTGCTGGCAATTTATGTTTCATTTTTTATTAAATGAAGAAAGAATAATAATGATGACAACAAATAGCCCAGGAAGGTGACATTTAAGATGTGAAAGATAGTTCATCGGCGCACTAAAGTCTATACCACAAACGATGGATCGCCTCTAGTCAACCGGGCGAAGGAGAGAAATCTGTGCAAACATACTAGTATATCCCATTCCGGTTTCCGCTATTCCCAGTGGTTTTTCAATGGGGTGCTTACTGCCTTGTCACTCCACAAACACAGTGAAGAAGAATGTCAAAAATACCCCATTTCAAGCCCTCGCTCTCATCCAGGTTGCATATACTAGCTTCCAGCCTGCCAAAGACACGGTCTTCCCTTGACCTATACTCCTCCGTGAGAGGCAGAAGCTCGAAAATCCGCTGGCATTCCATCGCCGAATCTCGACTTGGCTGACCGTAATTCTCAAGCAGGATATGCCGCTGTTCGGTAGAACACATCCGCAATGCCTGAATAATAACCCAGGAGCACTTATTCTCCTGTATATCGGTGCCAATCTTCCCGGTCAGATGGTGGGTACCGAATATATCAAGATACTCATTCTGAAACTGGTAAAAGCTGCCCAGCGGGACAAGAATATCCCGGGGTTGCTGGATATTATTGGGCGTGTCGAGTTGTAAATACTGCAAGGCAAGAAGAACTGATAGGTAAAAGCCGTAGTATCCGCCCTTCAACTCGCAGATACTATCATACTCTGCCATGTTCCATTGTTCGGTGCTCCGGTTATCGGAAGCAATGCCGTCACATTCTTGTCCAATTTCAGTCAAGAAAGCAAATTCGTGAAAAGTCTCCATTATTTTGAGATATGCTGGGTGTTTCTGGAAGTGTTGCTTGAGGAGAATGAATATAGACGACTTGAGCAGACATCCGTCGTTGACAGCCTTCATCCCGACTGACGTACGTCTATACCAACACGGCTTGCCTCGACGGGTCAATGAGTTATCCATGATGTCGTCATGAATTAAGATATAGGCTTGGAGCACTTCTACTAGCCATCCAAGTATACTGAGGTCGTGCAACTCCTGTTTCGTTAAAGGACGATCTAGGGTCGATAGACCTGTTTGTGGTACAGATAGAGCGCGAAACATTTTGCCATTTCCTAAGTTCTCGAGAAAGCACTGTTTTGGAAAGCGATCAATCAACCCTGATAGCCCTTCTTGGAAGATGTCTTTTCATGGTATTACCTTCTCAACATGGTTTATTACTTCACCAGATGCCCCATTCGAACCAAAATGCTCCTTAATTTCCTCCACGAGCTCCGAGAGGACAGGGTCAAACTTGCTCCGATCAACTGTAAAGGCCATCATGCCTGGTCGGTCACTCCCGAGTTAAGATACCACTGAAAAATTCCCCAGAATATGTCTCGTTACTATTTTATGGCGAATGAAAGTAGGCTTGATAGCAAACCGTGGTCATGCATCAGTAGTCCCTGATAGTGCTGAAGAATTGCTTATGAGTTGTCAAGCACTCCGTAAAATGCAAGGATAGGGCTCTGTCCCACATCTTCCATGGTCTTGTGTACAGTCTTCCAGACTCTAAAGGGCATTAAACTTTCGGAATGCCTTGACACAACAGGTATTTTGCCGGTTCTTCAGCACACTCACGAGTATCTTGCCCGAACCGTAACAGTTACAAGCTGGTCCCCATATATATCCTGATATCGCTGGAAGGCTGTCCGAGCTACCTTGTAGACATGACATACATAAAACTTACAGCAAGCCTTGATACAACGGGTAGGAGTTTGCCCCAGCAGGAGCAAGGGATTATGCACAATTCATTCACATGCTACTTTATACAATAGAATATACCCGTACTCGCTGACTTACGCATACCTTATCTGCAGCGTATTGTTAAAGGCAATTCTCCCACCGTCACATTGCAGTTATCTTCCAAGTCCTTCATTCACTTCTCAAACATCCTAGCACCCCGCACATGTAATCCTTCAATTGACAAAATGTCGAAAACATACCAGGATCTTGGGCTATGGAATTTGCGGAACGTGGGAGGTTATCAAGTTTCACCCGACCGGTGCATGCGCAAAGACGTGATATATCGTTCGGCCAACTTGGATTCTATTGGGCATCCAGGGGCTCGTATACTTCAGTCACAACTAGGAATTAAGACTATCTTCGATCTCAGAAGCACAGTGGAACACAAAATGCCAAAGGTGCTGCTTGATGGAGCTGTCGTGTCTTTGCCCGCCGTCGCCACCCCTGATCGTGAAACCCTCAAGACCTATTTCGAGGGAATATCTAAATCACCAGCGGAATCAGTCGCTCGCTTATACATCCATACCGTCAATAACTCGATGACTTGTTTCAGAGCTATATTCGAGTATATCAGAGACCATCCCTCATGCCCTGTGCTAGTGCATTGTGAGCTGGGAAAGGACCGAACAGGTGTCTTTATCTCTCTGCTCTTGTTCGTCCTTGGTGTGTGCGAGACGGATATAATCTACGACTACACTTTATCGCAGGACGAGATTAAGGATATTATCCACGAGAGAAAAGCGAAACTTTTCCAAACTGCTTTCATGGGCGGGATTTCGGTTTCACCAATTGCCCTTGAGAATCATTTCAAAGCACTCCCGGGCTCTATGAAGCTGTTTTTTTCTTATCTGAGAGAGACGTATCATGACGGTCGGGGTTATCTATCGTCACTTGGATTCAGTGATGTTGACTATGCCACTATCTACAGCAATCTGACGGAGAATCTCTAACACATTCTGTAGAGTGTAGAAATGGCTTTGAATGACATATACGTTTCGGTCCCTACGTCCTTTCTTTACATCCCTTCTCTACCTCAATAGACTTGGAACCACACTAAGCACAATCCTTTATGCATTCAGATTTTGTTATTCCAATTCACTATCTAAGGCATCATACCATCCGCATATGGCTATCAACCGATGGTCCATATATAACACTCTTGATCCCTTTCCGTGCCACAACATTCTTGAACGCCTCTTCCGCCTTCTCAAAGTCAAACTCATGCGTCACCAAGCCATCAACCCGGACTCGCCCAGAGCTCAGCAGTCCAATAGCCAGCTTATAGTCGCCCGGCCCATACCGAAAACTCCCCTTGAAGGCGATCTCCTTATCGCAGACCATTCCAACCGGAAAAGCCACTGTAGGCTTTCCTAGTCCAACCTGCACAAAAGTACCTCCGGAAGCAAGGATATCAATCCCGCATGCCAGACAGGCTTCTGCCCCTGAGGCATCAAGAACAACATCAACACCTTCAGGTAGACCTGTGAGAGCACGAATCTGCGCTTCATTACTACTGTCCCCCTCAGCCCGTGCTATCTGCATCCGGTAAATATGCGTTGCGCCATAACGACGCGCACATTCTAGTCTCTCCTCCACAACATCAACAGCTACCACCGTAGTAGCTCCAAACGCAGCAGCCACGGCACAGCAAAGTAATCCGACCGGTCCAGCACCAAACACCACCACACTGCGATTTTGCATATCGCCTCCCAAACGACACGCATGCACTGCGACACTCAAGGGTTCAACCAGCGCACCATCACGAAGGGAGACCGTGTCAGGCAGCTTATAGCAGCATTGGGCGGGAACCCGATAATAGGTGCACAGGGTACCGTTGACGGGGGGTGTGGCAGCAAACTGCATGGACGTGCAGAGATTGTATCTGCCACTGCGACAGTACGAGCAAACGTTGCAAGAGATTCCGGGCTCCAAGGCTACACGGTCGTTGACTTTCAGTCCATCGACATTGCTGCCTGTGGCCACGATCACGCCGGAGGACTCGTGGCCGAGAACAAGGGGCTGGGTGACTTCGTATCGACCGAGCTTTCCATGCTGCCAGTAATGGATCTGCGTGAAGACGGTGTGAGAAAAGCATATCTATCATAATTGAGAAGAAATCTTCACGTACATCTGAGCCACAGAGACCGGTGGCTACAACGCGGACAAGAACATCCCGATCGGATTCTATAGTCGGAATTTCGCGCTCAGAGTAGGTGAAAGTGCCGCCCGGGTGCAGGACCAAGGCACGGTTTACCGATAGCTGCGGTGTTGGCATATTGGTACCCTTGATTATGATTAATCGGAGAGATTCTTGTCTATGCATCTATGCACTGCTTTGGTCTAATCTTATAGATCAAATATCGTCTCACATTGCATACGGTTTGAGCGGCGATTGGCCCGGCGCTATCGCCGAACGAATCAACGGTGCCACAGGCTGGAAATATCCCCGAAAGCCCTTCCCCACCACTACCCCACATTTGTCCAGTTGTTCATCGATTCCCCCGCGTCTCGGGGGTATCGCCGTCCAATTTTTGAAGTATGGCAAAAATGAGGCCCAAGTGAATGAGAAATCACATAAATATGGCACTTTCCCAACCCTTTCAAAGGTAAATCCTCCTCCTAGAACGTTGCGCACATCTTAACACAATGGAGATCCTCCAACAAAAGCCCACCAACTACGCCATCCACACCAGCCCAGCCAACGACCTGCGGCTAGTGGAATGCGAGATTCCCAAGATCGCACCAACCGAGTGCCTAGTGCACGTCCGCGCGACCGGCATCTGTGGCTCTGATGTTCACTTCTGGAAACATGGCCATATCGGACCCATGATCGTGACGGGCGACAACGGCCTAGGGCACGAGAGTGCCGGCGTGGTACTGCAAGTCGGCGAGGCCGTTACACGCTTCAAGCCTGGTAAATCCATCACCACCTTACATACGACCACCCACTAACCAGTCCAACCTCCAGGTGACCGCGTCGCTCTCGAATGCGGTGTCCCCTGCTCCAAACCCACCTGCGACTTCTGCCGAACAGGTCTCTACCACGCCTGTCCGGACGTGGTCTTCTTCTCCACACCCCCGCACCATGGTACTCTGCGCAGATACCACGCCCACCCTGAAGCCTGGCTCCACAAGATCCCCGACCACGTTTCCTTCGAAGAGGGTTCTCTCCTCGAGCCACTGACCGTCGCGCTGGCGGGTATTGATCGCTCCGGATTACGACTCGCTGATCCACTCGTTATTTGCGGAGCAGGGCCCATCGGTCTGGTCACCCTACTTGCCGCCAACGCTGCTGGCGCTGAGCCCATCGTAATCACCGACCTCGATGAAAACCGTCTTGCAAAGGCAAAGGAGCTGGTTCCCCGCGTCCGACCGATCAAGGTAGAGAAGGGCGAGAGCTCGGCGGATCTTGGTCAACGGATTATATCCGAGCTGGGACAGGAAGCGAAGCTTGTGATGGAGTGTACGGGTGTGGAGAGTAGTGTGCATGCTGGTATCTATGTATGTCCTCCCTCCCTTTCTCTAATTCACACATATCTTGTGTCTACGGTGATAAGTGACTGACTGATCCGATACAGGCAACCCGCTTCGGAGGCACCGTGTTCGTGATCGGAGTCGGAAAAGACTTCCAGAACATCCCGTTCATGCACATGTCCGCCAAGGAAATCAACCTCAAATTCCAGTACCGGTACCATGATATTTACCCCAAGTCAATTGCTCTGGTCGCTGCGGGTATGATTGATCTCAAGCCGCTGGTGTCGCATCGGTACAAGTTGGAGGAGGGGTTGCAGGCGTTTGATACGGCTAGTAATCCCCGTTCGGGGGCGATTAAGGTGCAGATTTTGGATGATTAAATATTCATAGAGAATAGAGAATTTTAACTGTGTTGACTTGAACAAATTAGCCGAGGACATTAGGTCGTTCCTAGGATCCTTGATGATAGGCTTACTACTCATCAAGTTGAATCAAGGTAGCCATATATCTACGAAACAATCTCCAAATTGCCATGTTATGTACATCCGTCCGCAAAAGTCACCAGAACCACACATACGATCCATCACCATAGACTGAACTAAGATGTCCGACTTCTAGAACTAAGCCTTCGCCTTCAACACTCTCTGCTCCTCCGCCCAAGCAAGCGCACTCTTCCTCACACTCTCCTCACCCACCTCCGAGAAAATATCCACTCCAATTCTAGCTGGAAAATTCATTCTCTGGTGTCGCTCCAGTGACTGGATAGTTGAGAATGCGTCGTCGGGGAGGATGAAATCTGATTAGTGCATATCAGCATATGGGGAACTTTGTTGATGAGGAACAAACTGGGGGTTACCTTGGAAGTTACTCTCGATTCTCTCTGGAGTCACCGACTTGGGAAGCACGACTGTTCCGCGTTGCACAGCCCAGCTGATCAGGACTTGTGCGGGGGTCTTGTTTAGTTTCTTGGCTGTTTCGATGACGAGGGGGTCGTCGACGGCGCTGGATTATCTGTTAGTTGATTGTGGTATGTGAAGATAGAAGATTGGGTGCATACCGGGGAATGTTGTAGATGTTGTTGCCTAGTGGTGAGTAGCCTGCTATCACGATGCCCTGTATATTGTCAGCTTAGTATGATAGCCATGGTGTCAAAGATATAAAGTATCTTACCTTCTGCGTCGACCACTCCAGCAGATCCTTCTGCTGCAGGAACGGGTGAGCCTCAATCTGGTTGACTGCGGGGGTGATCTTTGCTCTATATATGCGATCAGCTTTAACAATACAGACAAGGTACCAAGCTCACTTACGTCTTCAACAACTCCTCGATTTTCTCGCGAGTAAAGTTGCTCACTCCGATAGAGCGAACTTTCCCCTTCTCGACTAGCTTCTCCATAGCAGCCCATGTATCCTTGATCGGAACATCCACGACATCAATCAGACCCGTTTGTTCATTAACGGGCTGGATAGTGGTTGTTGAGTATCTGAATGCGACAGGCCAGTGGATCTAACATTTCTCAGCATCACCTCAACAGCTAGTGGACGCCTCGTCAACATACAAGATACAGATCAAGATAATCGGTCTGCAAATCAGCGAGCGATTTATCCACAGCCTCTTCGACGTTCTCAGGGTGGTGGTGGGTGTTCCATAACTTGCTGGTAAGCTACATATACATGTTAGCGATGTATCATGTACTCTGATTCGGTTTGAGGCATTGCCTACGAAAATGTCCTTCCGCGGAACGCCAGACTGTCTGATCCCATCACCCACTTCCTGTTCGTTGCCGTACACTGCTGCGGCGTCGATGTGACGGTAACCGCATTTCAGGGCTGCGATGACGGCATCGCGCACTTCGTCTTTCTTCGATTGCTATTTGATTGTTAGATATGAAGCAAATTTGTTTTGCGTAAAGGTAATTGACGCACCCAAGTTCCTAGGCCAATGGCAGGCATGTCGTAGCCTGTGTTGAGCTTGAAAGTGCGACCTAGCGCCATCTCGGAAACTTGAGGTGGGATATTGGTTGGTTTGTTGCAAAGAGTAGGAATGTCACACAAACTCGGGGTGTGAACGGTAGAGAGTGATGAATTCGGCAATTAGGCAAAGGTAATAACGAAATACCTATAATCAATCTGGGGCTTCTATCCTTTGAGAACAAGAGTATAGATCGCGTATAAATAATGCTGTTGTCGGAAAAGTAGTAGGGTATCCGGATGCTTTTCCGGGTTATTTTCCGAGCTTCCCATAGGATAATATGTCCAGCGCTGTGGGGTTGAGGAGACCGCCGATTTCCATTGTAGTTATTTTCCCGTGCGAATTCCCCAATGTAATGAGAACAGATATAACACAAAAGCAGGATGAAGAGCTAGGTTTGTCGGAACGACCAAGGTGTTGAAGCATGCCCTCCATATGTTCTGATTATATAAATTAGATGCTCGGCACACGCTATAGTCGCAATGACCATGTCGATAGCAATACAGTAGTCCATGTTATTGAGAGCTGCGCAACTCGCAATTTGGCGTATGTAGAAGGATTATTTAAAGTGTCTCATGGTAGAGAGAAAGCATGATCTACTTGGGTAACTACATATTAGTACCTCGGATAGTCCTCGCCTAGATAAAGATGTTAGTGAAAGAGATAGGGCCAAGCACAGAACAGAAATTAGTACTGACTTATTATAGACCTTCAGTGTCTCCAGTATCAGCAAAGGAGTATAAGCATCTACTTAGTAGTACGAGGATGGAAATTAGAGAATACTAGATGAAATGTTAATTTCATTGATATCATAGCTAATTCAGTAGGGATATATATAACTTATTGGTTGTGGATTAGAGACACGGAGCTTAAGCCCTACAGGTCGATCCTCACTGGATGTTAGATCCAGGAAAAACACATGAATTAGCATGTTCGTAATAATAAGTGGGCAAAGCTATAACATACAACTGCAGTCATGTGATGCGACTAGGAATCTTCAGTATTTTGCAAGAATGAAATCATTGGTCAACATCTCCGCCCTATACTGCAGGGACTCCAAAGTCAAAAGTGGGGAAGAGCCCTGTTTTGCTTCTCCTCGGCATTTGAGAACAGCTCAGGGTCTGGGGAAAGATGGACTTCCCAACAACACCTCTCAGACATCCATTGACATTCCATCTCGATACCCATATTGACATATACTATCTCTTATCTAGAGTATGCTTGATTTCGCTTATTAAAGTCAATTACCTTTAATGTCTCTTCTGTTGACTCTTCGTGACAGCCAAGAGACCGGCTACAGCCAAGGCGGGCTATCCAAGCCAACCAGCCCAACGATTCGCCCACGGATTGCCTCCATCTGCATCCGAGTCTAGACTGGCTCAACCCTGTCGGTCCTTCTTTCCCTCTCCAATCCTGCCTTTCCGGGAAACACTCTCGCGGACCCCGCCGTGGGCGAGTCATCATGATAAGAACCTTCTCCGCGGGGGGGTTTCTAAATCCCCCCATGCATGCATGTCTTTACGCCCTTTATAGATAGTCTGCTGCTTCCCCTCACTTCTCCTCCCAGTGACACCACGCTTGGCTCATCATGCGCACTTCTTCGCAATCTTCTGGTCTCTGTCTGGCCTTGATGGCCATGTCTCTGGCCCTTCCAGCGTCTGCTGAGAAGGTGCTAGGTGCTTACATCTTTGCTCGGCATGGAGACCGCACGGCTAAGGTGCTGAAGGACACGGAGTTGACCGATCTGGGTTACAGTGAGGTCTATACCACTGGTACTTACTGGCGGAGCCGCTACATTGATTCGGACTCCTCTCTGCGGATCCAGGATATCAGTGAAGACATTGTCAAGCTGAGCCAGATCAGTGCCTCCACCCCGTCTGACGATGTGCTGCAGAACTCTGCCACAGGATTCTTGCAAGGAGTCTATCCGCCTGTCGGCTCGTCAGCCAACGAGACCTTGGCTGATGGAACAGTCGTCGACTCTCCCCTGGATGGATACCAGCTGATCCCCTTGTCCATGACCGACTCGGGATCAAACAGCGAGGACACCACCTGGCTGCAGAGTGCGACCGATTGTCAGAATGCGGAAGTCAGCAGCAACAACTACTACAGCTCGTCATTGTATAATTCACTTCTTGATTCTACCACCGATTTCTATCAATCACTCTCGTCGCTATTGAACAGTACCTTCTCCGAGTCTTCGATGAGCTTCAAGAATGCTTACACCATTTTTGACTATCTCAATGTTGGTTCCATTCACAATACCACCAATGTCCCAACAGCCGAGCAGCTCCACCAGGCCTTCCTGCTGGCTAACATTGAACAATACAACCTGGCCTACAACTCGTCTGAGCCCATCCGTGCCGTAGCAGGTGCCATGCTGGCAGGTGACGTTCTTCAAGGCTTGAACAAGACGATCACATCCAAGGGAAAAACCAAGCTGAACATTCAGTTCGGCTCCTACGGCACATTCCTATCCTACTTTGGTCTGGCACAGCTCCCTGCTGCGGATGTCAATTTCACTGGAATCCCTGACTATGCTTCCTCTATGGCCTGGGAATTGGTGACGAACTCGACCTCAAGCGAATTCCCTTCCACTTCTGACATCAGCGTGCGATTCGTCTTCCACAACGGTACACTCAATGAGTCAAAGAATGATAGCCCTACTGAGTACCCACTCTACGGCCGGTCAAGTGCCACCATCCCCTGGTCCGACTTTGAGCGTCTGAGCACGAAGATTGCCGTCACATCGCAGTCGCAGTGGTGCCAGGCATGTGGTAACACCGATGGTCAATGTGCGGCTTACTCGACCAGCTCCAACACTACCTCTACTTCAGCGCCTCAGCAGAAGTCAAGCAGTGGTATCTCCCGGCCGGTAGCGGGTGTTATCGGTGCAATGGTGACTTTGGCGGTCATTCTTGGTGCAGAGGCGCTCCTCCTTCTCGTGGGAGGATTCCGCATTACCAAGAAAGGCGCAGTTGCACAGAACGCAGCTGCTGACGAAGAAGACAAAACAACTTAAGTGAGAACAAAAGCAGTGAGCATGTCTTGTTGATGAGTTGGACGACCATGATTTTATGATGGCTGGGGCATCGTGATTTCCAGTCTTATGCTACTTTTCCACCAATAGCTGACTTCGTATCGGGATCCTGTCCGAGTTGTAATGAGCCTACGTTAGCACTACAGTCGTTATGATAATTTACTAAGTTGACGCTGTCGTCTTTCCAGTATTCTGCGCCGCACCAAATATCTCCTCGTAGCTATTTCCTCTTCCACCTCGGACTCTTTGTCAATAGTCGAACCGGTTCATTTCCGGTAACCACATCTTCAAAGTAGATTGCATCAAAAACTGGGTCGAGGCCTGGATGCGACGAACACCCTGAACCATGGATGGATGCACTTCTGGTTCCACCACGGGGAGGCCCGCCATCGCGACACCTAAGCCGTTACATCATGACCTCGGCTGTTCTGGATACAATTGCAAAGTTTCTTCGATGACGAGGCACTCTTCTCTTCTTACGACTACCACTCCAGACACATCTACAGTCAATCTCCATGAGGGACTCCGGTGCGCTCTCCAGCCCGCGAACGCGACACCCGCAGCCAGTCTTACAGGCCCAGCATCTACTCAACCATGCAGGTCCTTATCCGCTTAACGATGGCCGCTCTGTTGGTCCTCACTGTACTCTGGGTCGGATCGCAAGTGAGCACAGTCCAGCAACAGCAGGAGGTTATCCCCGAAACGAATCCCCTGGAGGATGAATATAAATCCAGCAAACCTACACAGTCTATACAGCCGGATATGGCAGACATATCGCACACTCCTTCAGCGACGCCCTCCCCATCAGTCGGCAGGAAGAAGCGTCCTTTCATAACGGACCTCCTCCCTTCGTACCAGAAGGATACTTCATCCCCTCAATGGGCCATTGACAACATGCTGGACACGACGCAAACACCCATCGACGGAGTCATTGTCGTCGGGCGACTCAAATTCGAGAGACCTGACTGGCTCATCAATGAATTGGCTGAGTGAGCGCCCACCCCCCATATACCTCATCCATACTTCTTGTATCACCACTGACAGTTCCAGCTGGCGCCACGCAATCTACACGCGCGACGACCGACGCCACCCCCTCAGCATCCCCAAGAACAAAGGCAAAGCCAGCACCGTCTATCTTCAATACATCATCGACCACTATCACCACCTGCCCGCGACAATCGTGTTCCTGCACAACCACCGCAAACCAGGTCACACCGAGTTCCGCGACTACGGGAACGTGGCAGCCGTTACTTTTCTCCGACGCGATTTTGTCCAGAAGAACGGGTTTGCTAATCTCCGCTGTACTACTAGCAGTAGTTCTGGTTCCAGTTCAAATGACGAGTGCGGGAACGTGATCCATCCGGTTTCCGAAGCCAACGAGACTAGTGCGCAAGTCACAACGATTGAACATGAGTATCCGGTCATCTGGAAGACGGTCTTCAATAGCACTGATGTGCCGGAGAAGATTGCGACGCCGTATTGTGGACAGTTTGCGGTGTCGAGGGAGCAGGTGCACAAGCGGCCCAGGGAGGAGTATATGAGGTATCAGCAGTGGGTGATGGAGACAAAGTTGAAGGATGAAGAGATTGAGCAGGTGATGGGGTCATTGTGGCATGTTATTTTTGGAAGAGAGGCTGTATAGTAAGTCGAGTTCATCTTTGTCGATGCTTGGGGTGATGTGCTTGCTGACTGGTGTTAGTTGTCCTGATACGGCCAAGTGTTTTGAGGATGTTTATGGTTTGTGATTTTTTCAATGATGTATCTCCATAATGAAATAGTAATACTAGATTAATATAGTCAGTTATGCTCACATTGAGAGCAGCAGCAGCAGCAGCAGTGGTTGAAAGTAGGGGGTTTGTTGTAGAGTAGATCAAGCGGAGGGAGCTACGCTATTAATACTACCGCCGCGCCGGCGCGACATGACGTGCGTGACCCACGCAAATTTCCAACTGCTTCAACTTCATCTCCGACTTCACCTCCGCACGCGCTCCCTCGCACCACGGACCCTGCTTCGGGTCGTCTCCTCCTACTTGAATTTAATGAATTGAATTAACCAATCAGTTCAACAACTACCACCTATCCACCTACCTACACGGATCTCCCCAATCGCGCAGCTCCAGCTGCCACCTACCACCAAACAACTTCCACTCCAACACCCTCACACCTGCACGCCTCCGCGCGCTCTTGAACCAAAATGTCGACACACTACAACACCGAACCCACCGCCACCGCCTCCGCAACCCTCCACACGACCCTCGGCCCGCTACACATCGCGCTCTTCGCCTCCCAAACACCCCTAACATGCCGCAACTTCCTCCAACATATTCAAGACAACTACTACACAGGGACGATCTTCCACCGGATCATCCCCAACTTCATTCTCCAAGGCGGCGATCCAACCGGCACCGGTTCAGGCGGGACAAGCATCTACGAAGAACCCGAATTCGAATACGACCCGACAGCGCGCGATCCGAACGAGAAAGTAGTCCTGCGCGATGAACTGCACAGCCGGTTACGGTTCAATCGGCGCGGATTGGTTGGGATGGCGAAAGCCGAGGACGGGAGCTACGGGAGTCAATTTTTCATTACGTTGGGGGATGCGAGTCGGGAGTTAAATGGGCAGTGTACGTTGTTTGGGAGGATCGAGGGCGACAGTATTTATAATGTGTTGAAGATTGCGGAGGGGGAGGTGGTCGAGGGGACAGAGAGGCCGGTTTACCCCATTAGGGTTACTGGGTGTGAGGTGGGTGAGTTGGGGCCGTTGGAGGGGAAGATTGTGAAGAGGGATTTGACGGCGAGAAGTTCTGCGACTGCGACTGCTGAAGGGAAGGGTGGGAAGAAGGCGGCGCAAACGAAGAAGAAGGGAAAGGCGAAGGGAGGGAAGACGCTGCTCAGCTTTGGTGATGATGAGGGAGAAGAGGGTGAGGAGATGCCTGTCAGGCCGGCGAAGCCGAAATACAATGCTGCGCTGGTGACGGATACCACAGCTGGGAACGGGGATGCGCCAGCAGAGAAGAAGCCCAAAGCAAGGAAGGCGTCACCGTCACCACCACCACGCAAGCGCGCATCGCCCACCCCTCCACCCATTGACCGACCCAAGAGTCCCGACCCAGCGACGCAACTTCCTCTGCGCGATCCAGAGTCTCCTGAGCGCTCTCCTACCCCGGAAGAACAGCCAGCACAAAAGTCCAAACTCGAGCGAACCAACGCCGAGATCGAGTCCCTGAAAGCCTCCATGCGCCGCACCGTAACCACCGAGTCAGACACAGGACGCAAGAAAACCGCCTTGGAAGCCATGATCCCTCAAACAGCCATCCGCGGCCGCAGACGCCCACCACCCGGATCGTCGGCAAGTACCAGCGCCAGCAACGGCATAACGGGCTTCTCTAGCAGCAGCGACAACGCCGCACTGAAGATGTTCAATGCCTTCAAAGCGAAACTCGAAAACGCCGACTCTGCCCCCACCACCACCACTACGACCAGCAAACAACCCGAACCCAAACCCCAGAAAGAGAAAGAAGAAGACGAGGAAGACGAGGAATCTCAACTCTGCGACCTCCACTTCATCGTGAACTGCCAATCATGCAAGTCCTGGTCTGACAACAACGCAGCCGGCACTGATGCCGCCGAAGGCAATGAAGACAACCAATTAGGCGACGACACAGACCAAGGCTGGTTAACGCACCAGCTCCGCTTCGGGAAAGATACGCTGGGCAAGGATCTGAAATGGAAGAAGGAGCATCCGGACGATGTAGATAGCTTGATGGTGATTGATCCGCGGGAGAAGGAGAAGGATATTGTTGCGTCCGGATCCGGATCTGGGAGGAAGAAGAGGGGGATGATGGAACGGGATCGTGAGAGGGATAGGAAGAGGGGGAGGGTGGGAGACTTGGAGTGGGAGAAGGGGAGGAAGTAACTTTTCTCTCATTGACATTGACATTGACAAATGATGAGTTGATGTGTAGCATACATACTATACTATATCCTATACTACTTCTACATGTTATATCGGAATCGAACGAGGATAGAACGTCAATGGAACTCAAACATACACCCACTACTAATCAATCCAACTTACAATCAGTACCAAGCTAGCAATCTAGACAGTACGCTTCGTACGAAATCCAAAATTAACCAGCGGGAAAGCGAAGCAAAGAGCAAGAGAGGAGAACCTAATATCATTTTATTTAATTCATACTATGAACAAAACGTGCGCCGCTATCATTAGAATCGTTGTATGTGTAGAAGCATTCTTTCGTGTACGGGATGGAAGAGGAGATAGGAAACCAGATGATTAGGCAAGGGGGAGGAGTGTGTGTGATAAGGGTATAATTGCTTTTTTTTCTTTCTTTGGTGAGGCCGTCAGTCAATGAAGAGGAGCGTGATTTTCAATCATTCAATCAACCTGTCAACCGAATTGTAATGTCTTGGTCTGTTGTTTGAAATCAGGCGGGAGAAGGGAGAGGGGAATTGATGGGTTCATAGGGCATGGGTATGGGTATTGGGGATTATATGCAGCGATATACCTCATTCGAGAAAAGGCAAGACAAATGTAAAGTTTAAGCTTTTATTCGTATTCGTAATTCCAAGGTTGGCTCTTGATATTGCCTTCCGCAGACACACAGCCCCGTTAGTAATGTCATCAAGCAGGATGAAAATAATAGAAAAAATCAAGCCTTCTTGCGCCGCTTCGCGCCGCCGCCATTGCCCTTACCTCCCTGAGAATCGTTAGTTTCGGACCCGCCATATTGCAAGCCATCATCCACCGTGTTGGCCGGGCTGGTGCTCTCGCTGTCTGGAAGTGCCTCGATGCGATTGGACTCGTGGTTGATGGGGATTTGCGCATCCGCGCCGACTCCCGAGCTCATTGCGTTGGTTCCATAACCGCTGCCGTCGTAACCGTTGTAGTACCCGGCCGTCGACTGCGGGTTGGCTCCGCTGAAGATATCACCCTCTGCTGGGATCTGGTCGAAATCGAACAGCTCGGAGGCATCCTTGATCACGCCGTCCTCGGGGCCGGTCGTCGCCGTTGGGTCGGCTGATGTTGTGACCGGCACCGAGTGCGACGAGTCGCCGAAATCTAAGCTAGTTTTATTATGTTCGAGGTCTCCAATGTCCGTGAAGTAGTCGTTGGTGAAAATCTCATCAAGATTTAGTGGGGGAGGGGGGACGCTG